CCCTGCAGGATCCTGCAGAAAAGAAACTTGAAAAGTGAGCGTGTTAAAGAATCCTGCTCAATTATACTCACCAACTTGCAGGAAAATTTTCAGCGAGGTAACGTGATGTAAAAACTTGCACTATATATCCAGCATTCACAGGATTTTTTCAGATTCCGGTGTGTCAACGCAGGAATTCATAAATCTTTTTTCAGTGGGTAGCATCCTATACCGAGAATCCTACGACCATATTATCAGTAAGATCCTACAGGGTTGCCTGATCTGGGTTCCTTTCATGAAAAAGAGTCAACAGGACTACCTGACTGGTGCTGGGCGCTTCGTTTCAAAAGGCATGTTGTGATTGTGATAAACTAAGATTAATTGAATAGAACAGATGTACACGGCTGAAATAAGTATCCAAAACTTGACTTTAGTGGGCGGTTTTCTCGTAATATATGAGGGTGAATAAGAATCGAAATTTTCCCCCTTAAATTTTTAAAATTATCGAAAATTTCCATTTCACTTTCAGTTCCTAACTTCAAAAATATTTTCTTTTTATTTTACGTCAAAACTGAATGTAAAAGCATATTTTCGATGTCAGGGAAGTATGATAGGATCAAAAAGTTTAAAATTTGAGAAGAGCGCAAAATCTTCCGCTGTTAGCACCAAAAGCTTCAGGTCTTTACGGATTTGAGATGAAGCCAATATTTTTACGTGATTCCACTCGCCATACAACCCCGAAATAAAGTATGTATGCGTCTTATGAGATTGCTTTTCATTTCTAAGATATTGCGTTTTTACTGGAACCTGAACAATTTGACGAAAATCGGGCAAGTCATTCTCGAATAAAATGGTCAGTTTTGAGTCGACTTCAACGAAAATTTGAATATGGGTAGAAAACATCGAAGAATCTAATGAAAAAACTTCTGAAGGCTCTATAGAGCCTTCAGAACATTTCCAGAGCATTTTTGGAAAACCTTCTCTGCTCACAACTGTTGTAAAAATCATTCACATCGAAGAAAGTAATTTTCTACAAAATGTAACTATTTTCAGAATTTTGCGCACTACCTACGCTGACAAATTGAGGTTTGACTTGAAACTTTCGAAAGACTACAGTTTCAAGTAATGTATTGTATTAATAAAGCATCAGAGAAACGTCAGAATGGCTTTATTTTATTCAGAATTCTTTTCTCGATGCTCACCATATGTGTACAACTGTGCAATACAGTCTTTTAATTGAATCTAATATACCACGGTTCGGATTAACGATCGCCCACTTCACAAAAGTGATTACTCAAGACAGGTGTCCACATAGCAACAGTGTATCTAGGCATGTTACAAACCCAAACCCAAGCCACTTGGGTGTATAGACTTGGGTATTAGGTTGGCCTTCGTGAGATGTTAAAAGACCGTTCTTCTTCAAGTATAACTTATCATTAGTAACTTGACGACTTTTTTTCATACGTTTTATTTGTCTCTTTCTTCTCATTGACCTTATTTTCCCTAACAAAAATCAGGTTTGCTTTAGTTTTCTCTATTATTTTCTATCACTTTTATAGTGTATACAACAAATTCCGCCGTACTTTTGGACTTGTGCTCATTTTTGTAAATATTTTTCTCTTCTTTGCGATAACAAGAGAAAAGGTACGCGGTCAATTTGTACGCCAAATTTGTCTCAGTGTCAACTTTGCTAATAAGCTTTTTTGTCAAATCTTCCATAGATTTTCATGCTTGGACCCACTGAGTTTAAAGGATTATTTCGTGGTCTGAAAGGGTTTTTATTCGGCTGCAATATAATAAAGATTTTCACGAAAAAATACCATTTTCTTTTACAATTTGCTTTCTTATAAATAGAAATGCTTGGACAGTGAAGCATAATCGACATGCTCGATTCTGGACTATGCTCGAATATAACGCTATTTCAACGAAAGTGTCAGCGGAGTATCATGCGAAGCTCATCAGAAAGCGACGAAAATATGGTCAATATTATTTTGTAGTTGTTGAGATTTTTTTATCCTTCGCGATAGTATTGTCTTACGAGAGCAGCTGCAGTCGTTAAAAATGCTTACTTTTTAGCATAACTTAGGAGATTCTTGACTGGAAAAGCTTTTGATTTTCTTATAGAAGATGTTCTGGTTTGTTTTAGTCGCTTTAGGAATGGTATATACTTTTAAAAAACTTAAAAATTTCATGGGTCCAGTTAGGAAATCGAAAAAAATTCTAAAAGATTCATCGATGCAAAATCGATTTTTCTTTCTTTTAACTGTCACTTGAAATCTGTTCTGTACATGTATTTAAGACACTAAAAAATAAAGATGATATTCGCAAAATAAATAGCGTAAAAGCACTCAACTCTTCTAGATATTTCACCTAATTTAAAGAAAGTTCTTATCGCTACCATCTTGCACACATATATCCACAGGACGAAACAAAACACTACACATTCTGTTTTCACATGGACTACCATGAAATAAAGCATCGTACTAGACTCTTATTAACCCAAGTCCAACATAATACCAAACCCAACTCTGACCCAAACCCAATACCCAAGTGTAGACTTGGGTACCCCAAACCTAAACCCAATTCTTTGGTTGGGTTAGGGTTTGTAACATACCTAATTGTATCGCATCATCTTTTTTTTTGTCTTTCCAGTCTATAAATCAAGAAAACAATAAAAAGAAAAAGAAAATTGAAGGTAAACAAGAATTAGAGTTACATCATACACAATTTATTTTATTTGATGATGGAACACTTAATCCATCGGATATGGGAATTTATCGTTCAAGATTAGCACGAGAAATTTCTCGTGGAGCACACCGAGCAAGTCAGTAAAACTAGGTTTTTTTAAAACGATCTATTAGTTTTTTCTCGTAATTCCAGTACCACTAATTGCCATAGTAGTAGCAGGTGGTTTGCAAACACTGCAAACAATTCACAATGATTTACGAAAAAATATACCCATTGTTATTATTGATGTAAGCTTTCGCACTGATGATATTTTTTAAAATTTGATACTGTACGCTATCTTGTCTTTTAGGGCAGCGGTCCTATGGCTGATTTACTGACAGATTTTCTGCAGCGTAATCAAAGAAAAGAAATAGGTAATGTAATTTGTCAGACGAAAGGGAGCAAAAGAGCTTATTGCAGTTGGAAGAATACTGTGGCTAGTACTCACTAAGAATTTTTTCTTGCAATGAAAGTTCAACAGGATCATGAACAAAACAAAGAAGCATACGGCACGGTTTTGAAAGACGATGATAATGAAGAAGAATCGTGGACGGAACTGTTTTCGGAGAAATTGTAAGTTGCATGATAGTGCTGTGCACAGCAATGTCGCCGCATCGGCTATACTAGTGCAAAGTATGCAATAACTAATAATGAGCTTGAATTTTTATAGACAAAGAGATCTTCAACGAGAATTTAAAACACAATTAACTGAAATAAGACAACGATTATTTGGCATTTATGAAGATGAAATATTAACTAAATCGCGTTCATATAAAAAATCAGCTGGTTATTTACTAAATCCATTTCAGAAACGTCATTTACAAAAAATGATATTGATGTTTCTGTATTGTCTTCAAAAACATTTTCGTTCTAATTTCAAAATTTTTAGTTTTGATAGTAAATATAAGTTATATGATTCAATCTATAAGGCGTTTATTCAAGGTAAGAATAGTAAGATCTTATAGACGAATCAATTGACGTGATCTTTGTTCAGCTCGTGATAATTTAGCAATGGAGCTTAATAAACCATTTGAAGATCAACTAGATGTAGCATTAAAATGGAGTCGGGCAGAAGCAATTAATGAATTGCTTGATCACGTGCAGGAGCATACTGACCGTAACAATGGTAAAGTTGGTTTCAATATGACAGCAGACTATGCAACAGCGGTAACTTTTAGCATTTTACAAAATTTTTGGATTCTAGTTTATTTTCCGGTTTTTCTTTCAGAAAACATTCCAATCTGCTGATCCAGCAAAAGTTGCTATAAGAAAAAAACTTTTTATTCCAGCCCTGTTACAAAGTAAAGCTGCATTTGTTGAAAATTTTATGAAATTAGGCTTTGATTTACCACCAATATTATTAACAAAATTTGAACCGAAACATAACTGGCGCTGGAATGCCAAAATAAAATATCTACGAGAATTTGGCTTAGACTACCTTTCAGAACTTTATCATGATTCAAAATTGAAGGTTAGCAAAACTATGGTCGTCTATCTTTTTTCGAAATACTACTAACTAGCACAACTTCTTCTTGTAGCTGCTATCTGTTTCGAAAAGCAGTGTGAGTCGTTAACGAAAAATAATAAAGATAATCATTGAATAGTTCACACACAACTCTAAAAATCTGTTAAAGATCAGATCTTCATCTACAATGGTCCATTGCTATAAACATTCATCGAAGACTGTGTAGGGCTCAGCCTGGGATATGGAAACATAGACCATATCCCCTCTATCAACCGTGCTGAATCTTCTGAGTGTCATGGCAACGTTTACTTCAGCAGAAGTTTCCATACAAATCCACCGAAGCGCTTTGAGAAGCTACACATTTTATCTGTGAGTAAGTATGCACCGGGTCGAGCTACTCGAAAATTAAAGTCTGTTTTTTTCGGGTATACCTATCTGTGAGATCTTACAACAATAAAAGGATAGATCTATCGCCACTTAGAGATGTGTCATTAAGCAGCCCATGCTACTTTTTGAAAGCGTCAACTAGAAGCTATCACCACTTACGAGCGTAGCAGTAAGCAGCTATGGCCGCTTTCTAACCAAAGCTCGTTTCAGTCACTTATTGAAACCTTCGGCTCCACTTTAGGTAAGAATATGGTAAAATAACGATACATCAACATTTTCCGCGAATTTTTTGAAATAAATCCTCTGTATAAAAAAAGTATTCTGTTTTATGTTTTTTTCGGTTTAATTTAAAAATATGAGTTTCAGCTGTCCGTTGATTTTGGATTTTTTTTCTAGATATCTCAATACGAGAAGTTGAGGATAAAACACATAGTACTTCAGTCAGATAGCCGACTTAAGTTAGCTACATTCTGATATTTTGGAGCAATTTCGGTGAAAAGCAGCCGTTTTCCAATTCTTTTTATTAATCCAAAATCATAGGCTGAAAAGCAACTTTTCTCATCAACTCCCCACTAAGAATTCAGAGATTGTAGTGCCAAAAAGAGTCAATGACATGAGAAACATAAACGTTGATAGTCTATGATCAACGTGTTCCTCAGGATGCTCGGAATCGTCTTTGGAAATCATATTATTACTGGAATATACACCATCCACATGTGTTATTTTGCCCTCGACTTGTTCCATAAAATTCTTCTCTGTGTGTGGAAATGATTGACCATTGATGATGACCACACATCGGGTTGAAAACCGCAAATCTTTATCATTTTTTATTCAAAAGCGAGTCCCTTCATCGCTTTTTAAAATGGGTAGTACACAGAGAGGCTCATAAATGCAGTATATCTTTTAGACGGAACGTTTGTACATTCATGACAGAATAAAACATTCAAAATTTGATCTAGCAGAAATAGATGGATTAAACGGATTACTGACGGCTCTCATTGGCAATTATATGCGTCCACTTTATACAACTCAAGTCAAAACAAAAATCGCCACTGTCTCGTCTTCTAAAGTAAAACCACAACAGCAAGAACCAGCACGTTCGTCTTATAAAGCTCGTCAACGTTATACATTTCAATCAGTAAACAAAAGTGATTTGATTTTAGAATATATTTATCGTGATTTATTTTTATGGTCTGTTATAACACATCGAATTGAATTAGCTAAGTTATGCTTAGCTAATATGAAAAATCGCATATGTGGTGCATTAATTGCATAAAAAATTATTCGAACCATATCATCAACAGTTTATGATCAAGAAACAAAAAATAACTTGACAACAGAAGCAACTGAATTTGAAGAATTTGCTATTGGTTGTTTAAAATGTTGTTATAATGATGATAAAACATATGCTTGTGAATTAGTTATACGTAAAATTGATTTATTTGGTGGAGTCACTTGTTTACAGGTAAATTCAAGAACACTGTCCTTATTTGTCTGCAACAAAGGTGGGTTTCTTTTATTACTCATAGGTCGCAGCTGCAGCTGATAATAAAAAATTTTTACATGAAGAAACATGTCAACTTTTGTTAACAAATATTTGGTATGATCGAATTGAACCATTAAAAGAAACATATCTATTTTATTTGGATTTAATCACGTTTAATGTACCACGGACATTCGTTCGTTTAATAAAAGAAATGAAGGAGGCAAAGAAAAGATATGAAGCACAAGCCAGATCTATAGTAAGTCAACAATGTATTACGATGTATGAAGACATTTTCTAGCCTGCACAGACTAATATCTCACAGCCTTTATTTCAACGTATACTTTTCAGGACATATTGTCGTATGCAAGGCTGAACTCTCTAGATTATTCAGATTCTCTTATACGTTCTAATAGGTTTACACCATATATGTTCTTTCTTTTAGTATATTGATGGCACAACTTCAGAAAAAGTAGCTGATCGAGCTGTTCAAAGGTAAATCTACTTTAGTCAAGTTTATTACCTTCCATAAAGAATGCCCAGTTTGTCTGGTCTTGATAACAGGGTACAAACTTATTTATCTACAGTTGTCTGTTTCCTGTTTTTATTTTTTTGTCCTGATCAGCTCCAAGACCAGACCAAGAAAATGATAAGAATTAGGGATGGCACATTACTATTACTTTTATGAGTAATCCAAATATTGTATATATTTCTATTACCAGTAATAGTACAAGTTTTCAGTTTTACTGTTGCTGGTAATAGGAATGTTCATAAAATTTGTATCAACAACAGTAAAACTGAAAACTAGTACCGTTACTGGTAATAGAAATATATACAATATTTGGATTACTCATAAAAGTAATAGTAATGTGCCACCCCTAATAGGGACAGGTCAAGAAAATCTGTTTTTTCTAAGTTACTGATCAGATAAACAGTAAATCTTGGACTGATCTTGACATTCTCGACGAACAGGCTCTGATCAGGATGGATAGGCTGTACTTTTCTTTCTAACTGCAACAACGCAAGAGAATTTATTTTCAGTTCTTTCCACGTGAACACTTATATCTATAGATAATTTTGTAGACCGATATATATAGCTAATATAGTTCACTAAGCTATACGACAGACACCTGTGCGATTGAAGATATGTTTTCATTCTAAAACAGATATACAAAAAAGTGTTCGTTATATATACGACACGGAGCGCAAACTATTTCTATACTTGAACTTTTTGCAGTGTAAATGCATTTTTTGACTTTTTCAAATTACAGGTACATAAAAAAAAGTAATTAATTCACAGGAGCAATGTAGTGTACAGCAGTTTCAGTGAGTAAGAGAGTAGAGAGACTTAAATCCTTGCCACGCTTATTATCACAAAATTGAACATTTTTCCTTTAGCTATCCTGGGTATCAAAAATGGGCCTTTCTGTAAGAAGTGTGCACTAGATATAAGTACTTCTCTTATGTATAGGCTCAATTAAACATATAGACTGCAAAGCCTAAAAATTAAAATGCAAGAAGTGGGAAATACGTTGAAGGTTAATGTTGTTATAGTGATTGTGAGTATCTACGGTATAAGATCGCTTTGCTGTTAGTGACTTCCAGGATGTAGGATTCGGTTCTGTTTGACGCACAGAGGATTGGGGCTCAGCCATTCCGTCTCATTCACAGGATATTGGATTGGCTCGAATAACGATCCAAGCGATAATATCTTTGGGTATACATTCTCTAAAAGTTCAAGGATGAATATTTTCTGCACATGCGGCAAACGTTACCTTATTGAAATTTTTCACACGTGAACCATAAAACATCAACTGCTCTCACTTTTATTTTGAGATAAAATGCCCGTTATATGTCGAACCATAATTGAGAAGCACATGAAGAGGAATAGAAAACTTCATCCAAGATAGAAAATTTCTTGACTGGAAGTCTCACAGCTTATTATTAACTTATTGAAAACAGATCGAAAATAGTTCAACATTATGGCAAGACAACTCAAAGAGGATTTACATGAGGCATTAGACAGCCAAAATTGCTGAGTACTCTTTTGTCTTGATGTATGAGTTCCGTAAAAACATGTCTTTTTTCATTTACGAATAAAGATTATGAGGTCCCAAAAGGATCATAGAACCGATAAAAACCTCAAAAACTGTTCACATCATGTTCTCGAAGAAAAGTCAAAATACACTGTAAAAAATAAAGTGTGCCCAAAACACACTTAACTTGCACATCACTTTGATTCGCATTTGCACATCTACAATGCACGATGTGATGTGCCAAAAACACACTGGCAAAATTTTGTTAGAAAGTGTCGTATCAACAGTTGTCATCTTCCAATATACATTTTCTTTTCACCCGATGGTTATTTTCCCTTTCTGTTCTTCTGTTATATGTAGTCACTCTTCTTTTATATGGTATATGTTTTCTCTTTCTGATCGCTCTTCGATGGGTATTTTTCATTCCTATTCTTCTATCTCTCTCTCACTCTCTCTCTCTCTCTTGTACAATATGTGGTTTTCCCAGTTTCCCTAAGAGATATTCCCGTAGCTAAAATACACAATATATAGTTGTTAATTTACTGAAAGAAAGTATGTGTAACAATTACATTCTTCTTTGGCTATTAACCATTGGATGGAAAACGATTCTGAAAGGAATAACCTAACAATTTACACACCTGCGAATATAGAGATACTTTTACACAACACACCAGTTTGATTCGCATTTGCACACTTAGAACTTTTACACATCTACGGACACACTTTATTTTTTACAGTGTAAAACATGATGCAGTCAAACCTGAAAAAGCGATAGTCACTTTTAACGCCGGGGTATTAGTTAAATGCGTGATGACTATCCAAAAAGCAGATCTTGTACTTGATTTCTTTCGTGGTCAGGAAAAAAAACAGGCCCTGACCAGGAAAACAGGACAAGAAGTTTTTTACTTTAAGTAACCGATCAGTCAACTGTAATACAGTTTACTGACCAGAGGTCTGATAAGGCAAACCCCCCATTCCCTGAGTTGTTATTTGCTCATGTTTTCCTCATTCAGGCTCGAATCCAACGGTATTGATTACACGAATGATTATAATGATAAAGAAAGACCTATCCGGCGTTTTTGTCATTTTCATGAAACACCAATTGCCAAATATCATTATTGCTGTGTAAGCACAATGAAGTTAGGCTTTATTTGGATCTTCTAGCAATGTGTCTTTCTTCTAGGCTGGCTATTTATGTTTTTTATTATCCTTCAGTTATTTCATGTTGTTTAATTTTGATCCAATTAGTTCTGATAACCCAATGCCTCATTGGACAGAAATTCTAACAATAATTATTGTTTCAACAATGCTCATTGAAGATGTGCGACAAGTAAAGTGCTAGTGAAGATTCTTGATTATAAAGAAACTATTCGCAAATTATTCGGTCATGCTGGTTAAAACAAACACAGACAGCAGCGACTCATCAACTAAATTTTGCAGAGAAAATGATTATTATAGTCTAAGTACTTTTCCCTCTACTTAACAGTGGCGTATGTTTTATTTAGGTGTTTTACCAAGACAGTCAAAAACCATGGGGAAAAGTTCTTACGTATTTTGATATTAAAAATCGTTCTTCAAATTTACTTATTATTCTTCCAGCATATATTTTGTTTTATATTGGCTTAATATTTCGATTTAAATATACTAGTGATGATTCATTTTCTGTTGCAAGGTAAAAGTATAGAAGTTGCCGATTCACATAACGTTAACTTTGTTTTTATGCAATTAAGAATTATCTTATCGTATGATCTTGAATTTTGGTTTATTCGATCCTTATTGTTCATTGGAATAGCTAAAAGTCTTGGTCCAAAACTTGTAATGATAAGAAAAATGGTTAGTTTCTCTCTGCAACTAGTGTACATATGTATCTAACGAATTCTCTATTTTTTGATTTAGAGTAATGATTTAATGTTTTTTGTATTTTTAATAATTGTTGCCATTAGTGCATATGGTATTACATCTCGTTCAATGTATTTATATGGAACATTTCAGTTTAATTTGGCACAAATATTTGAAAATGTTATTTATCCAGTTTACTATTTTATATATGGGAGTTTTGACGATGAAAGAACGGCTTTACAAGGTAAGAGAGTTCACCTTTTATTACTCTTCCTAAACAAATTTATTTGTTGCAAATGTGTGATGATTTTCCTTTTAAGCAAGTCCCAGTGCCGCGACAACAGTTGGAACTCAAATATTATTAGCATTTCATATGCTATTCGTTAATATTTTACTTATTAATTTACTGATGCTATGTTTACGTAAGATTTCGTTCGAAGTTGTTTCTTAGTTAGGGAACGTTTCAAAATATATTCCAGTCGGTCGGTCGCTATTCCTCTATTCCCCGACTATTCCTCTATTCCCCGACTATTCCTCTATTATAGAACATTTCATTGTTTACTAGTTGTATAGCTTATATACATCAAACTTGATTTTCTTTTCTATTTGTTTCTACTTCTTCGAAAACAATTAACC